TTGTTTATGAAAACAGGTATGGAGAAGCAAGAAAAGAAGGAATGAAAAGTGTTGGGATGTCTTGTGTTTGCCCAAACTTTGCTTAGCGTATATATACTTTCTCTTGGAATGAGAAATATATCATTGTCATGTCAATAGCATAGACATGGTTGTTTATCTCTGTGCAAGTTGGGAGGAGCCTGGAAAAGGTCTGTAGATGATTGTATACAAGCATCTCTCTGTTATTGTGCAGTTCTTGCTTTCACATATTTGTGGAACTATATGTCCAAGTATGTGCATCTACATATGTATGCAAGTATATTCTTATACGTATGTGTATCTGAGTGTGTTTCTCTTTGTGTGTGTGTGTGTGGTGTGTTTGTGTGTGTGTGTGTGTGTGAGAGAGAGAGAGAGAGAGAGAGAGAGAGAGAGAGAGAGAGAGAGAGAGAGAGGAGAGAGAGAATGCACAGTTCATTCATTCAGTAGACAGCTACTGAATTGTTCAGTCATTTCACTTGTGTCTGACTCTTCATGACTCCATTTGGGGTTTTCTCTGCATAGATACTGGAGTGGTTTTCCCTTTATGACTCCAGCATATTTTGCACGTGAGGGAACTTAGGCAAATAGGGTTAAGTGACTTACCCAGGGTGACACAGCTAGTAAGGGTCTGAGGTCACATTTGAATTCAGGATGAGTCTTCCTGACTTAAGTCTCAGCACTCTATCAGATGCTGTGGAAGGAACAATTACAGTGTTAGTCCCCACTTTGACCTTAAGACATTTCTTCCTAGATGTAGGGACACAATTAATGAACACTACAAGTTAATGATTAAGTGTATTGACAGTCCATAGCAGAGCACACCTGCGCATTAGGTAGGAGGAAGGATCAGCAAAGAAAGCTTCTTAGAGGAAGTAAGACATAACTCAACCTTGGACAATGGGTAGGATTTGACTAGGCAGAGAAGTATTGTTCCTGTGGGGAATGGAAAGGTACAGATTATTTGTACAAGATAAATGATTGATTGTGGTAAGGGAGAGGAAAGAGTCAAAGATGATTGTAATTTCCAGCTGAGGTGACTGGGAAGATGTAGTGGTATCGATAAGACAGGAGGCAATATGTCATCATGGATAGAGTGCTAGAATAAGAGTAAGACATCAGTCAATCTCCCTGGAGTCAAATCTGATTTCAAATGTGAGCAAATTATTCCAGCTCTCTGAATCTCAGTTTCCTTGTCTGGAAAATGAGGGTGATAACGACTAGAGTAACAATATTACAGTTTTCTTTTGTGGGAAAAATGAAATAATTTATGTAAAGTAATGTGAAAACTATAAAGTGTTTTATAAATGTCACTGCGGTCAACTGAATGATCTTTCGAGGCTGGTGTGTGTTTGTGGCCCAAGGAGGTAAGAAGAATATGGAGAAAAAGAGATTATGTCTGCTGTGGTATGTGAAGGTCTGTGGCTTTAAGTATAGGTGTAAAGCCCTGGTAGAATCTGGAGGAATGCTAATGGATAGGAATCTGGATAGAAATGGGAATCCAGTGTCTGTGGGGGGAGGGAGAGTGGTGACATTTTGTTTTGGCAGTATAGACAAAGGAAACTCTTCTCTGAGATAGAGGGGAATGGGGAAAAGTTAGAGCTAGAAACATTCTGAAACAGAGAAGAGAGATGATGAAAGCTTGCACGGATTGGATTTCTTGAATAAGGGCAACGAGAGATTTTAGTAGTAAATAGAGCAGGTCTGTATGAGCCATCATCCAATACTCTGGATGAGTATTGAAAAATAGTATAGGATCATAAGAAATTGAGAACCAGGGGGACAGGAAGGAGGTTCTATTTCAAGTCAGACAGGAGGAGCCTACTGCAAAGCAGCTCATCTCAGCTCTGTGACTTCAGCAATGCTCCACAGTCTGAGAACGTCAATGGAATAGTTATGTTTTCCTAGTCAAAGACTCAGGGCATCAGAGAGCATAGGCATATTTTAAAAAAAGGAATCTGGGAGGGACAGCCTACAAGTGCCTGACTTGGAATCCAAGCTGGGTAGGGTTTCAAGGGTAGCCAAGAAAAGTTGCATAAAATGTAGTAAATATTTCTTGTTCTCTATTGGATTCAGAACTTGAAAGTTCCTTTCATTTCCTCTGTCTTCATTCCTCTGTGAACCCCATCAACCATCAAGTCAGTACAATTCAGTACAATGTTAAATGTCAACTATGTGTCAGGCACTAGACATGCAAAGACAAAAAATAAAGTCAATCCTATTGTTTTGAAAAATGGGAATGGGAGGCTATGCCAAGATGGTGGAGTAAAGACAGGGACTTGCCTGAACTCTCCCCCAACCCCACCAAATACCTTTAAATAATGACTCTCAACAAATCCTAGAGTGGCAGAATCCATAAAAGACTGGGTAAAACAGTTTTCCAGCCCAAGACAACTTAAAAGAATGGTAGGAAATGTCTGTTGCACTATAGTGATGAAGTCCTAAAAATGGATACCCTAGGGGTTGGCTGACATGGAGACTTGATGAAAGTCTGTAGAATCAAGGAAAAATATGAATTATCACGTGGCCATGTCACCTGGTTTTTCATTTTGTATGTTAAAATTATGAAAAATACAACCATAGACTCTGGGAGGTAGAAGGACTATTAAGGGCCATCAAATTTATCCTGCTAACCAGTATAGTAATTTTCCTCTATATTGTTTTAAGGTGGCCATCAAGATTGTATTAAACATTTCCAATAATGGGAAATCCTCACATTGTGTCTGTGTTTATGTATGTTATTGTAAATGCATGAGTCGTTGCATGTGAGAGGATGCCAGGATGTATGTTTAATATATAGATAATGCATATCAGTGCACTATTACATAAATGTGTATGTGTTTCTGAGGATACACATGTTACATACCCTTGGAGCCCCCCTGCCCAAGGAGAATGCAAGCTCTTGAGGGGCTGTTCCATTTGTTTCATTGTATTGTCTATACTGTGCCTTGTACATAGTAAATGCTTAATTAAATGGTGGTGGTGCTGGTTGAGTGTGTCTGTGTTGGACTCTCCCAACCATATACCTCATTCTCAATTAAAACTCAATAAGAAGTTCTTCATTTGCCTCCAGAAGTGATGGGATCATTATCACTGGAGGTTTTCAAGTGAAGACTGAATTACCACTCTTGGAAATGTTGTAGAAGACATTCTGTGCAGGTACCAGTTGGCCTTAATGATCTCTGAAGACCTTTCCATCTAGGAGGTTCTCTGATTGTATTCTATCCTGAATCTTTCTCTCTGCAGCCTCAGCTTATCCTCTTTCCCAAGGGCTGGGGGAGAGATAAGTTTAAGGGGAGGAGAACAAGGCTAAAGATGTATTAATGAGAAGGTAGAGGCAGCATAGCTAAAGAACTGGCATTGAAGCCTGAGATAAAGTCCCATTTCTGACATATACTGTGTGTGAACCTGGACAAGTCATTTAACTCTAAGTGCCTCTAGGCTTCTTTTTGACTGTAAATTACAGAGAAGGGGTCTATATGTATTCATATAGGAAGTTCCTTATAGGGAATGCACTACACTGGTAAAATCAAAACTCCAGTCCCATTTTCAATGAAAAATTAATTTATTTCATTTTGTTTTCCTGACCACTTCAAAGATGCTCTTTTATATCCAAACAAGCAAAGAACACCCTCTGGTTCTTGGCAACACAGAAATAAGGAAGTAGAGAATTGGTCAGCTGCTGACCTTTGTTGCTACTACCCAAGCAATATGGGCTTCTTCCAAGGGATGTGACCACTTCTTAGCCCTTCTAAGAATGAGGTACTCAGAGGCCCAATCCTTCAGTTCAGGTCTTGACTCAACAGACAGTACTTCTCTCCTTGTCCTTAGAAGGGCTCAGGGAATCACCGCCACCAACTCCTCTTCTTCCTCTTCCTCCTTTTCTTCCTTCCTCCTCTCTCTGTCTCTGTCTCTGTCTCTGTCTCTCTCTCCCCTCCTTACTCTCCCTCCCCTCTTCAGTTTTGCTATCCCTCTCTTTATCCTTATTCCTACCACTCCTTTCCTTTTCAACTCCCTCAATCAGCAGTCCAGTTTAAGTAAAATGTGATAAGCATGAAAGGAAGTAATGTGAAATTAAGCTGGAAAAATTACTGGGAGGGTGAAATTTGTTTCTATATAGTGAAATCATAGCAGGTTAGAGCTGGTAAGATCCCTGTATTCTGGTGACTTTCATACAGAAAATTATTAGGAGAGCCAGGACTAAAATTAATTCTCTTGATTCCTGGTCCATGCATGTTTCCATTGTAGTAACAACTGGATACTCCATTAGAGTTTTTTGAAAAGACAAATAGGTATTTGGGAAAAACGGAAATCAGTCAGTGTCATTAATATATACTCTTATATTATGAAGATTGCTACAGGTAACCATAACAATCTAGTATTCATTCTATAGTTTATTTTTTCCTACCCAATCTGACCTATGGATTATCAGGTTCTTGGGCATCTTTATAGCAAAGCTTAAAGTCAAGACATTTTCAGAAACCAGGTGTCTTTAAAAAATGAGACTTACTAAAGATTTCCTTATAGGGAGCTTCTGATTTAAGTATCATAATTATTGACAGTCAGTTGTCCATCAATAACCTGTAGTTTCAGAGGTGTTCCAATGAACATTGATCACTAGCTTTATAATCACAATCTCTTGAAAAACAGATAGTGACAGTCCTGCCCTTCTATCTAGGCACTCAGCAAAACTGATCATAACTCTGTTGCTGTGCCCCACTCCCTCACAACATGTGCAGAGACTAATACTGTTTGCAAATCCTATCATTGTGAGCAAAGCACCGAAAGACTGGTCCTTGGTTTATGGCCAAAGATGATATTCAAACATATTGTAGCTGTCTGTAGTTATAACCAGAATTTGGCACTGTTTGAAGATTCATAGCTTTTACCAAAGCCTATGACTAATTTCCTAGTTTTCTTCTCTCATGCAGGGAAACATCTATAAAATAGTAAGGTCTCACCTCCAAAGCTGTAACAATGTCACAATGCTTCCTCTGAATACCTCTCATACCCACCTTGCTGGTTGCTTTCTCATTGGAATCCCAGGTTTGGAGCACCTGCACATCTGGCTTTCTGTTCCTTTCTGCATCATGTACGTGGCTGCCTTGGCAGGGAATAGCATCCTGATCAGTGTAATCATCTACCACAGGAGCCTTCATGAACCCATGTACCTGTTCCTATCCATGCTGGGCAGTGCTGATGTCTTCTTCTCCACTTCTACCATACCCAAGGCTCTGAACATCTTCTGGTTGGGAACCCAAGCCATCTCCTTTGATGCATATCTCACCCAAATGTTCTGTATCCACTTTCTGTTTGTGGCTGACTCAGCCATCCTGCTGGCCATGGCATTTGACCGCTATGTGGCCATCTGCTCACCTTTACACTATAACACTATCCTTACTCCCAGCATCATCAGAAAGATAGCTGGGGCCACACTTACACGCAGCTTCTGCATTATATTCCCATCTGTCTTCCTCCTCAAAAGGTTACCTTATTGCCGGACTAATATAATTTCACATACATTCTGTGAGCACATGGGCATTGCCCGGCTGTCCTGTGCTGATATCTCTGTCAATGTCTGCTATGGTTTGGCAGCTGCCTTGTTCTCTACAAGTCTAGATATCATTCTTATCACCATCTCCTATGTACTCATCCTACGCACTGTCTTCCATCTTCCATTACATGAAGCTTAGCGCAAAGCAGTGGGAACGTGTGGCTCTCATATTTGTGTTATACTGCTCTTTTACATGCCTGCTCTTTTTTCTGTCTTTGCCTACCGCTTTGGTAGGAAAAGTATTCCCCATTATGTCCATATCCTCCTAGCCAGCCTCTATGTTGTTATCCCACCCATGCTCAACCCTGTGATTTATGGTGTAAGAACCAAACAGATTGGGAGGGGGCAGTACAGGTGTTTTTACAACTGGGGAAGTGATCAAGATAGAAACCAACAAACTTAAAGTTATCTTGAAGAGAGGTATCCAATTTGTTACTTTTGGGGCTAAGCTGCCTGCAAATAAGGCCTGGTCTGGATAGAAATATAATTATGAAATATTTAAGAAAATAAATAATAATACAACATAAATTATGTTAATTTCTGGCTTTTTTTTGCAATACAGTTTCACTCAGAGAATTAGAGTGATATTTATTTTTTAAAATATTGCCTTTGTAAAAGAGCTTCCTAATTTAACCAGGGGCACAGTAGGAAACTTGCTTTGCATTCATTGTTAAGCCTATACAGATTTGACATCACCAGTAGACGACTGAATGTAGTTTTATTTTAGGAGCAGCAAACAGCTTCAGAGAACATCAATGACAAGAGAATTCTCAAAACTTTTAATAGCAGCTCCCACCACAGTCTCCAGACAAATAACTTTTTGGCCTCCATCCAAAGTCTTTGGATTAATAATGATTTCTGCATCAATGGTGTACTTCTCCTGCAGTCTCTTGACTGCTGCTAGTGAGATCCACATGTTGTTTATGTTAAATATTTTGAAGTTTGATACAGACTTGAATTTATTCACTTGGGCTTTTGGCACTTGAGCAATTTCACGCCATCTCAGTTTGTCTTCGTATTGTTTGAGGGTAACACCCTTTACATCTGTTCTTGTCTTGTTTATGCCTTCCATGAGAAATTTGCAACATTTTCCATTGGTTAGATTCGTAAGATGGTTAAAAATAGACAAATCAACCATGGCACTCAAATTATATATGTTGAATATGAAAATGTACGCCTTTCCCTCTCCTATAACAGTATCAAGCAAACCAGAATTGTAGAAATTGGTGTACATATTACCATGACCTGAAAGACATCAAGCTTCTGTATTTTCCCCTGAGTGAGACACATCTTTTGCTACCTGCTTTCATTAAAAGTGGAGATTTTCATATGGCAATAACTGTACTTTTGAAGTTTTTTGGTATCTTCATCAGTGTTAATATTGTGCATTAAAAATGAGAGAAACATCTGTTTTGTACATTTTCTTCAAGTGCTCAGTTTGATGAACTGTAAGATCCAAAATGGAGTTTTCATTCTGCATGCCAGTCAGACTTTTGTGGCCTTTATAACTCCTGCTAGTTACCGAACCACTATTCATTTTTCCAACACCTGCTTATCCAGGACAGAAAATATGTCATCAAGTAAAGTTCTGACTTTTATCATCTCGTAAGGCTGAATTGAATCCTTTGGAAACTTCTAGATTTTCCCCCAATACATACAACGTCTCTTTTATGTTATAATCTATGGAATAACTTCTGAAATCAGTCAAGGTCTTTTTTAACATGGTAAGATTCATTTTGTGGTCCAGTTGACAATATTTTCTCTAGTTCCTTCTTCACTGGTAATTCCAGATTTTGTCAGATGATCTCTTGGAACCGGGAAATCCCACCTTGAAACATTGCTTTGGTAAGATCATCTGGACCTACCTCTCCTCCAAACTTTCCAATATCTGCCAACAGCAAATCCATCCTGCCAGCCCTTGGGACTTCCACTGGAAGGTAATTTGTGGTTTTCTAAGTAAATGTGTGGGTTCAGGGATCCTTTTCCATTTGAGTTTCATACCACTAATCTTGAATCCTAATCCAGGCAGATTGTCTTCTCTATCCAATCCTCTCTCTGTGCCCAAATTCAAGACTGCTTCATCCTTACTCTTTTCTCAACCCTGTTCCAGTATCTCTACCTATGATTATCTCCTTCACAAAGTAAGACATCTCATACCTATCCCCAACTTCAACCCTATCCTAATATCCAGTTTTATCTCCACTCCACCCAATCCTATCTTAGCATCCAGACCATACTAAGCTGCATCCATATCCTTATCTCTATTCCAATCATATCACTTTCCTAAATTTGTCCTTATCTTTATTCCTTTCCCCACCTCCAGTCCTGTCCCTACCTCATACCAATATTCATCATTTCTATCCAAAACCCATCACCTTAACAGTCCCTATTCTCATCCACACCATCATCTCCAACTCTAACCCATTCCCAAACCAATACTGATTCTATTCCTATCTATAGTACCATACTAAAATTTATCCCTAAACATATCTACATCCTCATCTTTACCTAATCACCTTACCTTACCTATTTCTGTATCTCTACTAATAGATACTCCATTTCATCACCTCTGTCCTCCTACTGTCTGGTCTCCAGACATACCAATAACATCTTCCATTCTACCAGCTTACCAGACCTCCTCCCTACTAGTCTTCAAGTGATTCCTGAATGCTGTAACCTTCCGGACAGCTTCTTGGACTTATTGAAAGGAATATAACAGCTTCTTCAACCTAGCCCTTTTAAGCTTACTCATCCATACAAAAAGCCTCTGACACAATGCCTTTACACTTTACTTTGCCTTTAAAGTTCTATTATGTAAGATGCAAGCATTCAGTTTTATCTATGAATACATCACTTATTCGATATCTGGAATTCAATTACCTATATGTCAGTTTGTATGGACATCTCTAGTCCCTTTTCCAAGGGAAACTTTTATTCTTGTCCAGAGGAAAACTGGAAGGTTTAAAACAATAACTAAGTGAGTAATTTTGGCTAAAAAAAGTTTCCGGTGAGTAAATCTCCTCTCTAATCAGTCCCTGTCTTGGGAGATTGTAAATCAAAGCAATCTGGTATGTGTTTAATAAGTGTTGTTGTAGTTTAAAAAAAAATCAGCCCAGCACAGAAGGGGACAAAACACATATCTGAATCCCAGAATCTTATAATTAATAGTAACTAGACATGGCCCAGGTAAATGCTTAGAGGTAAAATAAGGCACATGAAGATCAGACAATAATTTATTGGAATATGCAGTGTGTGAAGGGAGAGAGTATGAAATGAGCCTGAAAACACAGATTCTGGAGGGTCGTGAATGCCAAATGTATTATATAATGTAGAAGAGGAGAAGCCACGAATGCTTTTGACCTGAGATGATACTCCTACTCTAAGGAGCCACAGATTCATAGTCTGAGACCACTCTCATGGTCTAGTCCACTGAAGGCAGAGTCCCTCAGGAGCCCAGAAATCCTTGGCCTCTGTAGCATCTAGAATCATTCTCTACACAGAATAAAGAATCTGTTCTCAGGCAGGCAAAGGGTTAAACTGGCTGATTTCATCATATCCTGTAGGATGGCACAGAAGTGAGTACTCAGGGATTTGCAGGCTTGGAGCTTTCCCTCCTGGGATTCCAAGGAGTAGAATAAAAAGTTCTGCCTTATTTCTTACAAGGGCATTCATTCAGCCTCCACCTGGGTTCCCTGTCAGCGAACAGATTTTTCCTTCCTACAAGTAGGAAAATTGGAGCCCGAGCTTGTTGAGCTAACCTAAGGTGGTAAGCATAGTGATGGTGGTGGTGGCTGGGGACCTGGGGGGGGGGGGGGGGGGATTTCTTCTGTGTGTCCAGAAATATTATTAAACTACCTTGCTGAAGACTTGCATAGGCTACAACCCCACCCGGAGGCAAGGAAGGGCACAAGACCACCTTGGATAAATAGGGGCTTCTTCTAGCCATGAAAGAAGCAGAGAGCAGATGTGCAGAATGTGATGTATGTATATGTGCGTACATACGTATATACACGTATACACAAACACACATAGAGATGTATGTGTGTGTTTATGTATGTTTCTGTGTGTATATAAGAGGGACTCAGTGCTGAAGGAAGTGCTGGAATGGGGCCTGGGTCTATGCACTGGCATCAGAAGCCTTTGATCATTTCTTACACATGTACATTTGTGGCTTTTAATAAGTCCCTTCATTTTTCTTACTGCATAACTCAAAAGTAAGTGAAATATGTGAGGTCCTTGAGAGAAATAAAGTGAGGCTCAAGTTTTCAATGGGGTGTCAGCTACTCAAAATTTGAAAATTCTGTGTTTTCTCCCAATTTTCTTCCTAGACCAATCATACTTTTCTTGGATGTACTGGCTATAGCAGACCATTGGCCCAGTGTCTGTACAGTATATTATGAAGTGATTTCAAAGTCTCTGAAACTTATTCCAGGAAGATGGTTGGAAGTCATTAATGTCATCTACAAATTTGAAGTTTTCACTGCACTCCCTCCTAAACATTTAGAAAATAAAATTATGTTCAGCACTTGATATAAGGGATTGTTAACTTTCTATCCAGAGAAGCATTAGTTTATGCAGTTTGTTCTAATATTTGTCATCATGATTCTCAAGCATACTTTCAAGGGGAATGTGAATGCATACTTGTCCATTTAAATAAGTCTCAAAAATTTTTCAAACTAGATAGGGAAAATCAGAGCAGAAATGAGTTGGAGGCAGCTCTAACCACCTTTTAATTGTCAACTCTTAAATTTTCAGTGTGAACATTGACCCTTTGGAAGGTAGTTCATTGATTACCCTTTGGAAAATGTTTATAATGCAAATTAAACCGAAAAGTGGGAGTATGTGCACATTTTTCCTCAGAGAGTCCAGTTAATCCGTATTAGCCAGCACACCCTTCTGTTGCTCCATGTAGTATCGCTTGAGTTCAGCAGTAGCATACAATAGAAGGCTAAGGGAATGGAAGCTACTAATTCCTATAATCATAACCATAATAACTGGCGCTTATATAACACTTTAAGGTTACAATGTGTTTCATAGCCATTATCTCTTTTAAGACTCGCATGACACCAGAATTAGAGACAGATCCCTGGAGAAGACATCATTGAGCTTGGACTTTAAAGGATTAATCTCAATTTAATAGGTAAAGAGGCAGGGATACAAAATGTTCCACTCAGAGTTAAAATCAAAAGCAAAGTTACAGAGCTATGAGAATGGCATTGTTAACCAGTGGGATCTGGAGTCAGAAAACCTGGGTTCAAATCCTGTCTCCAATGCTTATTACCTAATTGACTTTGGCCAAATCAATTAATTCCTGGGGCCTCAGTTTCTCCATCTGTAAAGTGAGGAGAGTTGGACTAAATGGCCTCTGAGGTCCCTACTAGCTCTAGATTTGTGATCCTCTGAGTGTGTAGGAGAAAGAGAGTAAGCAGTCCACCTCAGGTAGTGTATATAACATATGGTGAGAAGGGGACCTTCATCTTGCTATATGGGAATATGAGAGAAGATCAAAAGTTAGCTCCAGATTGTAGAGGGTTGGCATACTCATACAGTGAAGTCAGTTTGAAGATTCAAGAAGATAATCTCTAAAGAAATAAATCCAATCGACTTTGATGTTTTTTTTCTCTTTCTCTCTGGGCATTCAAGGAGAAACTCCATTGTGAGAGGAAGAAACTTCACTCAATCCAGTTAAACAGAAATTAAGTGTAATCCTCAATTAACTATATTCATTCTGTATAACATTTTTAGGCTGTTTTTTATCATGGCTTTCCACTAGTCCAATAATTCTTAAATTATCTCTCCTGGATCTATTTTCCTGGTCACTTGTTTAAATGATTGTTCTTTGAGAAACAAATCACCCCAAACCAACTCATGTAGATTATTTGTGTAACCTAGAGGAGCCATTTGGTTTCCCTGGCCCTCAGTTTGCTAATCAGAAAAATGAGGAAACTGGAATGTATGAGGCCCAAAACACTCCAAAGTGTGTAACTGAGAAATATTTAGCAAAATAAATAAAAATGTTATAAAGCATTGATAACATTACATGTGGTTTCCTAACTCAGTATGTGGCCAGCAGGAATCTTTTCCTATGGTTCACAACTTCACCCATTTTTATTTACAATTGAAATCACTGGCAAAATTTTATATGCAACGGGGTCAAGATTTGAAGTAGGCTTCAGGAAAATTAACTTTATAAGTCCAGAATGGGTGGTAGCAGTTGAGCTGGTTCATGCACAGATAACAACTGATATAAAATTTAACAAACACAAGTGAATTTGGCTTTTTAGTGGTCATAAGCTCAAGATGATTCAATTATGTGACTTATAAATTAAAAAGCTTTAAATTTTCTTAGGCTACCCACATAGACACAATACTGTCTGCAACAAGAGAGGGGA